TATATATATTAATAAATTTGTGAGCATTATAAATATTATATAGATTAGTACACTTTATTTTATGTTTTATTTTAGTCATAATATAGAAACAATTATTAATTAAAAATTACTAATATTTTCTAAGTAATTTGTGCAAACCTTCAATAATTTGTTACATTATTATGTTACTAATTGATTAAATAATTGATGATATCATTTACAAAGAGAATAAAAATTAAGAATAAAATATTGTTATATCTTCAGCGTTATTCAATATAAAAATGAATTCATCCTGCTGTTCCTCTTAGTTTTGTGCTTACGTAATAACATTTCCTTATTTACAACAATGCAGATGCATATCACAAAAATCTTATTAGGAATCATTGAAAATAAATAAATTGTTTTTGCAAAAAAATCTTCAATCACGTGAAATTATATATGCTTTATTAAGCATTGTTCAAGCATTGATCAGTATTGATCAAGTGAAATCATGATATTAAACTCCTGTTCTTATCGATCGAATCTTACTTGTCAGAATTATTATCAATTTTAAGTAATATCTCATGAGATTATCGGCACACAAATATTTTAAATATTTCATTTCGAGTGTTGGTTTATCTACATATATCATACACTAAATACTTCGAGCTACTTATTTTAACACGTTTAACTATCGCTATTACACTTTAAATTAAATCTTTATTGATCTTATTCTCGAAATTTATCTATCTTTGTTCAGAAATTGAAAAACCATACTTCCATTCAAAGATGACAAATATCATGTTCGTATCAAGAATGTTGCTATATTTACATCTGTAATAAAAATACCTTCAATGTCCCAAAATTAATAATTATTGGAATTATTAAAAGTATATACCAGTTTTATAAACCATATTATTCGTTAAATTTAATTTCTCGAAATTATTAGAATAGTTCCTGATTTAATTTAAAGATTTCTAATTGGGTGAAAACATACAGCTATAGAGCATGTCTAACGATCAGTGGGAACACATTTTGAAAACTGTGGAAACAACCACGCGTAGCATATTCCGTTCCTGAAGCTACTTCCGGGTTGCGAAGCGTGCAAGAGTGGAACGCATAGCACTATTAAATATACTCTTTCTTCGATAAACTTTTACAACCGATGCTTATCAATATTCATAAATGCCTTTTTCGCGATAATGAGAATAAGCAAAAACGAATTTTACGGACGTTAAACTTCATTAATATCGTATACCTAACTTCATAAATGACATAACAAAATGAGGGTATTCAAATGCTAAACACGTATGAAAATAATAAAATATTTTACGAAGTTTAAATTTCTAAAATTCCACATAAAAGCAGCAAATATTGAAATATTTCATAAAGCATAAATAAATTTTTAAATATTACACGAAGCCCAAAAATATTAAAATATTTACATGTTACGTTAGGATAAAGGATAATAAAATTTTACATTAATAAAAATTCGAAAACTTAAAAGATTATACGAAGATAAAGGAATTTGTAAATTTCGAATAAAAGTAGAAACCGCTAAAATACTAAACACGTACGAAAATAATAAAATATTTTACATAATTAAAAAATTCTAAAATATCATATAAATGCAGCAAATACTGAAATATTTCAAGATTCAAAAAATTTCTAAACATTACACAAAGTCCATAAATATTCAAATATTTACATGTTACGTTGAGATAAAGGGTAATAAAATTTTACATTAATAACTAGAAAACTGAAAATAAGATAAAAAGATGTGAAAATTTCGGATAAAAGTAGAAACCGCTAAAATATAAAAATATTTATTACATGCTAAAGAAGGAATTTAAAATTCCACATAATAACGATAAGAAGACTCGTATCTGCGTGTAACTATCAAACAACACTGGTTCTTCTCACTGCCCCCAACAAAGTGGCTCGTTCATGCTAACCTGTGCACACCGCAGCGAAGTGAAGTGTGCTTACGTATTACTTAACGTGAAATCATAAAAGGAAAGCTATGTTACGCTTTGCGGCACGGTAACAGTTAATTTTGTTTGTCGACTCGGGGGTCATTATCCTCCCCAGCAAAGCATAAACGATTATGTATAAGTCACGTGACTTACGTGAGCTAAGCTGGCGACAGCGAGACCAAAGGTGAACGCGATGTGCACCACAGTGGGTGGGTTCTCCACGGTCCACGTGATGCAGGATGCACAGCCGATCAGGACCAGCAGAAACGTTCCCAGGGTCTCGGCGAACAGCATCACCAGAAACTCGACCTTCGTCACCTCCTCGAGACCGACGAAGTCTTTCGCACCTGGAACACGAAGCAAAGAAAACGAAGAAAATAACGTGTCGCTATATACACGTCGTCCGACAGCGTTGCGACATTTTGTTGGTAATTAAATAATACGCGGAAAGGCGAGGAAGACGTTTTTCACTGTCTGCCCATATTGAAACGTCAAAATTCGTGTATTCAGCGAGCGAGCGAGCACGAATGAATACGAATACACGTCATTGTCGGAGTCCTCCTCGAGGATGCATTTCCATGATTGTTATTTCTGACAAAGAGGTTTCGTCTCCTGGTTTCTGTCGGTGCCTCGGTCATTGAAATACAGTTACGAATTTTTGATTCATTGCCTTTGTATCCTTTATTCCTCTTTCCTTTATTTTTCCTTTTATTTTAATTCGCTTTTTTTACTTTTTCCCAGTTGTTTGGGGAGGAAGAGAGGTTATGTAATAGGAGTCGGCGGGATAGGTGGCGCCACTTGTGGCGTTATTGCGTAAACAGAAGAGAGGTTTCTAATAGCACGATAATGTTGAAATTCTATTTCTGCGGTTATTGTTTAACAGATGTCGAATTATGATGTAAACAGATAAGAAATTAAGTCGTCCAAAGCGATAGAAATGTAAACAGGCGACAATTGTGTAACTTTAAGTCGACTATTTAGGTGTTTGGTAATTTGGCTATTGAAAATTGCGGAGTACTATCTAAAACAATTTTAATTATAACTGATAACTATATCGATGTGATAATATTATAGAATGTTATTTGAAAATGGTTGAAATCATTAGTTGCCTACTAATCTTCAGTAATTAAATAATTCATTTTAAATTCTATATTTATTTTATTGTAATATATATATTAGTTCTTATTATGCATAGCAATTTGTTAAATATATCTTTGTATCAATACACAATATATTAATATTATTATTAGATTACGAATGTTTATGCATTTATTATATTTATTGAGATATGTAAATAAGCCTTAACAATATTATGTCAAACTATAGCAGTTATTTACGTTCTCATAGTACTTCTTTCACGAATGCATAACTTCTATGCATAAAAGTTTTCAAATTTTGTAACAATTGTGATTTTTGTCACAACGAATTCCTTTTTCACATATTTTGCATAATACAGACACTCTTATTCTATAAATTCGGTTTGAAAATAATATACAATCGACTTTTTCTTAGTTTGAACGTCTCAAAATCTTAAACCAGTAAATTTCTTAAATTTTCATATAGATTTTATTATAAATATATGCATTTGCATAAACATCCTTAGTCTAATTATCAACTATTTTTCTGAACTTCGCAATTTAATCATTCCCTTCGATTAATTATGTTTTTATAAAAAAATTCACTTCCTTTTTACTCACATTAGAAAACCGCATTAAGACAAGAGATATTTATATTCCTATTGCAGCTGGTAATAAATTGTAACTTAATCGACATCACCGGTAGCATCATCGTGACATCATAATGAGAAACGTAATAGAATTGTACAGTAACTTCAGGAATTACGATTAGTTTTCGATAAATTGATAACATCATCTGACACATCTAAGTTTCCATTTTGTTATATAATTATGCACTAACGACGTCAATTAACGTCAAATCGCAATTTCGATGACGAAACAAAGTTAAATTAATGTAACAAACATTTCCCGTCACGAAATATAAAGTAATAAAGAAAGTCTGCGTAGTAAAGATAAGAAATCGTGGTGGCGGGAAATTTGAACTGCGTAAGACGTTGGAATGCCTAAAATATAAAATTTTCATATTTATTTTACTGTTTAAATAAATAAAATAAGAGAAACTGTTATGCTAAATATTGTAAGTACCATATTCGTGTATCACAAAGCGATATAGATATTTTCCACGTAATTTATCATCGAACAGACAGACAGCAATGGAGATGTCGGTAATATACGTGTAGATTACTAACATAGTTACGAACTTTTGTCAACGTCATTGTTTTTCTTCGCACCAGAAGCACACGTTTGCGACTGAAGAATAATTAACGACCACTGGAAAATGTTCGTTTTTTTTCCAAGAGAATTACACATATCGATTCGATCACTAACGAGCATCTTGTGAATCATGTCGTCACAGATCAAGTGGAATCGTAAATTTCACTATCTAATCCTTACCGATGGATCCATAAATTTTCATGATTTACGCGAATTCCAAATTATCTCTGTCATCCTTTAAAAAACAAACAGATTCGAATGGAACAAAAATACAATCAACTCGCGTAATATTTCACGCAATGTTGACCTATATTTTAAAACGTCGACAAATTTGTGGAACGAGTGCCAACTTTGGCACGCGACGAATTACGTTGGCACGTGAGGCATGTCAGAGTAACTCTTCGTTCCATTAATCCAAAATTGCATACTATTATACTTCGTTAAAACTAAAATAAATAAATCACATTCTTTTTTCCAATTAAACAAAATTTTGGTACTTATTCACACACATCTGTATTTCATACTTTATAGCAAGCTGTACCACAACCGTCTCAAAATTTGATATAATTTTATAATTTTATAATTTTATATTATATATAATATACTGATATAGTTTTATATTTTTATATTGCATAAAAGTGCACAATTGCATACTATCTTCGATTCATTAATCCAAAATTGCATACTATCTTCAGTTCCATTAATCAAAATTACATACTATCATATTTCGTTAAAACTAAAATAAGTAAAGCGTATTTTTATTTGCAATTAAACAAAATTTTGGTATTTATTTAGACACATCTGTATTTCATACTTCGTAGCAAGCTGTACCATAATCGTTTCAAAATTTGATATAATTTTATATTATATATAATATATTGATAGAATTTTATATTTTTATATTGCATAAAAATGCAAAATTGTATACTATCTTTGTTCCATTAATCCAAAATTGTATACTATCGTACTTCGTTAAAACTATAATAAATAAATCACATTCTTCTTTAATTAAGAGAAGATCAATTAAACAAAATTATGGTACTTTTTATAGACGTCTGTATTTCATACTTCGTAGCAAGCTGTATCACGACCATCCCTACACCAGACAAGCTATACATTTCCTTTACTTAATGAATTCACAAAGTGAACATAACCTACAACGTTCGATCAATCGGTATCTAAATTTACTATTCCCCTGAACCACTATAGACTCGATTATTATGTAATATAGGCTCACGGTTACGCGAACCAGTTCTAATTTAAATTCCCGGTAATGATAGATCTGGTTGAAATTGGATGTCAGTCATTCAGACTCGAGCTCTCGTTCGATCTGTCCCAAGCTCGAATGATTTATTTATTTACTTATTTATCATATCTTTTTCTCCGAAATGTCAATGAATGCGGGGTAACGCTCGACCTCCGTGTCGTTGGACGCTCTCGACTCGTTTGTAGTTCATGCCTTCCGCTGAACATCGACTCGGGGAAAGAGACAGACAATCTAGTTGCTAAACGTTTCCGAAAGGAGTTGCCGCTCGGCGAATTGTTGATTTCGTGGACCAGCTGCTTCCCACGTGTTGAACCTACGCCTAGTTAAGCAATTACGTTAACACGCTCGTTTCTTTTATTTCAGTGACAATGCTTATTCGAGAATAGACGAGACAAAATGGAGGAATAGAGTCGTGCTGACAGGTACAACAAAGATTCGTCGGCGAAGGTTATTCTGTTTGTTGTCGCTTCGACAGTGTGAGTATATTATGATGGATTTTCGGAACATTTTTAATACTGGAACTACGAAATCAGACAAACCTTGGTTTCAGATTTCTATTTTTGCTGTCACTGGATACGTAAGCTACTCCTAACAAAATGAAAACATAGTTCGGTATACTTATTTATTTTCGTCGTGCGATTTTATTTATCAGTATTTGTGTATTATATATTTCAATATATATTAAAGATATATTTTTCTAGTGTTAAGAAACTTCTGTAAACTTTTATTGTGGAAGATTCGTAAATTATTTCTATTGCACGTAATCATACAAATGAGGTTATGTTTACTAACGTTCGGTAGTCAATCATTAAATTCTCATCGTTACTGTTATGATTCTAAGTGAAATTAAGTACGAAGATTAACGACAATGTTTCATTTTCTGGGTACAAGAAATTCTTACGATAATTGGACAAACCGATTCCCCAGTCCGAGTACAGAGGAACGAGTAATAGATGCGAGAAATTTATTGTCGAATTGTCTTACGTCGGTATGGAGATTGAGACGAGTTGCGAAAGTTGGCATTGAGCAGAGAGGAAAATAATGTTCCGAAAGAGAAAATAGGTCACGTTTAAAAAAGATTTACTTCGTTTAATGGCACATGTTGCGATAAAGTGTTGCTCGCCAATTGCTCACTTCGGTGCTTCACACTTTGGCTTCTCTACTGTGTTGACGGCTACCTGCAACCAATGTGTGACCTATTTTTTCCTCCGTATGACGGGTGATAAATGTTGCATTTCTTCGACAGAAATAACGAATCGCCAATTTTAATGCAACATATAAAGAAATTTTTGCGAACAACTGTCACTAAATTTGTATTTTTATAGTATAAGATGAAATTGGCATAGAATATACGACACTTTTATGTATGTTGTTTGGTATCGTTTTCAAATATTTTAACTTCTTGCATGAAAGATGCGAAGCGAGTTTCGCGGACAACATTAAACAAAACGTTTTATGTTGTTGCACTTTATATCTGAATTTAATAATTTATCGGGTATTCTTCAAGAAGTGTAGAAATGTTTATTCACAAATTACGATATTAAGATCTTTGAATATTTTTTCCATTTAAATGAACAAATATTTCTGTCTAGTATTTTTACTTATCTTAGTTTCCATCTATTTTTGAGATAATGCAATATTTCATTACGATTTTAGACTACGATTAGATAAGATTATTAGATTATTTCATTTCATAACAACAAACCTGAAAAAATAATAAAAAAATATCGTGTTAATTATTATAATAATTAAACATTTTAATAACACATTAATAATTAAATATTAAACA